AATTATATGTTTCATCCAGAGCTGTTTAAGATCATTTTAAAAACGATTTAAATCAAAGATCATAAATCGTTTGCATTTGAACAAATGATTTAAATCAAAGATCGATTTTTTAAAAAGAAAGATTTAAATCAAAACTCTTTTTTAGATTTAAATCTTTTTTACAATTTAAATCATTTTAGGAAAGATTTAAATCTTTTTGAAAGATTTAAATCTTTTCGAAAGATTTAAATCATTTCGAAAGATTTAAATCATTTTAGGAAAGATTTAAATCATTTCGAAAAATTTAAATCTTTTCGAAAGATTTAAATCATTTTAGGAAAGATTTAAATCTTTTTGAAAGATTTAAATCTTTTCGAAAGATTTAAATCATTTCGAAAGATTTAAATCATTTTAGGAAAGATTTAAATCATTTCGAAAGATTTAAATCTTTTCGAAAGATTTAAATCATTTTAGGAAAGATTTAAATCATTTCGAAAGATTTAAATCTTTTCGAAAGATTTAAATCATTTTAGGAAAGATTTAAATCTTTTCGAAATATCTAAATCTTTTTAAACGAAATAAATATTTTCAAAAGATTTAAATATTTTTATAGATTTGGGTAACTCTTTAACAAATGCTTTCGGTAGGCCAAAGATAATGAATACTTAAGTTATGTGATTTTTTCATAAATAAAACGCAAAACTCGATCAACTTTTCTCGTTATTTGTCCAATGCAATTCTTACGGAAATATTAATTTTAAATAATAAATAGCCGATCAGGATAAAATTTTTAAGGATTTATGCAGCATTGATATCTATAGTTATGAAAATTGTTATTTAAAAATGTCATGTCGATTGGTAAATAGAAATTTTTCAACCCTTTAAAAGATAATTTTGGTATGCCTATGATGCCACAAAACAATGGAGACCTAGTTTTTAAGAAAAGTGATTTTTTTTTCTGAAAAATCACTTAAATCCGTCAACTCTTCCTTGAGTTAACGTGCTTAATGTCATACATATATAAACACCCCACATAGATGCACATACATCACTCTTTAAAAATATTTTTTTTTGTACTTAGGAGACTCTCCCGGAAAAATGCATTTCATTTTCAAAATCTCCCGGCTATGAATAATAAAATTGAGTGGGTTGAATTAAAAGAGTTCTTCTCTCAACGTGAAGTTATTGCGAGGAAATACATAACCAAAGTGAGCGCGTTTGGGTTAATTGTTTTGAAAAATGTGTGGATGAATCAGGCAAAGAAATAAAAAAAATTAATTAATTCGCTCTATCTATGCCAAGCGTGTTTATTGAACTGGTCAAAAAGTCATAATCGTCTTAATGCATACATTTAAAATACATATTGTAAAGAGTTTCAGGATTATATCGATAATGAAAAAGTATTTCCAGCTGCTTGCGGTGTAAAAAATACAACAAAAAAAAATATCGGGTCAAAAATATTGTAAAATTTCATACTTAAGAACAATCTTTAGTCATTGCAATTATTTGTTAAACTTCACTATTTTTTCTTTTTCTTTTTTTTTCTCTCTCTCGGATTTCTGATTCAACCCTACTGACATGCTGGCTAGATTATTATTCAGGAATAGACAGGTTGATAACGATTTTGACGAATCAGGTGATGTAAATCGTTTTAAAAAGATTTAAATCTTAAAAAGATTTAAATCTTTAAGAAAATTTAAATCATTTTAAAAAGATCTCATCATTTTACAGATTTAAATCATTTCAGAAAGATTTAAATCAATAAAAAGATTTAAATCATTTTAAAAAGATTTAAATCATTTTAAAAAGATTTAAATCGTTTTATAAAGATTTAAATCGTTTTAAAAAGATTTAAATCGTTTTAAAAAGATTTAAATCTAATTTTTAAATAAAAAATCAAAGATACTTTTCAAAAAGATTTAAATCATAAATCAAAAATCATTTTTTAAAAAAAGATTTAAAATCAAAGTATTTAAATCAAAAAATGTATTTAAATCAAAAAATGATTTAAATCTCACTGATAGGTGACAGCTCTGGTTTCATCAATCTTGTTTAAATTGTTGAGTAGTAAATGGCAACGATGAATGAAATTATGTTTACTTTAATTTCATTTAAATAATAGTTTGACGCCATAATGACAGTAACTCATATTATTTATATACAATCTGTAATATGATCTTGTTATTTTATCTATTTTTATATTGTTTTAAGCTCTATGATTTTGGGGAGTGGGTCAGGTTATTAAACAACTCGTATTACTTTGAAAAAGAATGTTGGACGCCACTATATTTAAAACTTACTAAACTTGACTATCAATTAGTGATAAAAATATAGAAAATCACTAACCATAATGATATTATAATTAAATAAGGTAGCGACAAATTCTAATTCACAGAGACTTAATTATTCAAATTCAAATGATTTATTAATAACTTATCTGTTGAATCAGAGGTAACATTTAAGGAGTGACTGTAGAGGCCTTCTTGTTAAATTTTCATAGGTAAAGTTAAATCTCGTTAACTTCTTTCGGTGGTTGGACTAAACTTCTTGATATATTCTAAACAGGCAGCTTGTACGTTCTTCCAAATTTCATCTAGATACAACTTCTATTGAAACATCTATATACAGTTTCTATTGAACCATCTATATAACTTCGATAGGACCATCTATATACAGCAAGGCTACAAGGAAAAAGGTAAAAATATAAAGAAAGGAATCAGGAAGAGTATATAGGAAACAGATAAGATGCTTTTTACTATCAAATGAACAAATTAAACTATTATTTGAATAGATTTACAGAGACTAGAATTAATATGAATAGGAAAAATCTTATTTAACATATTTAAATATAGTAAAGCATATTATCTCTTTATTAACAAAATAATAGATAAAATTATATAAAACATGTGATTTCTTGTGTTTTTCATGTTGTTGAGGTTATGTTTCAAATTTGACATCTTAATTAGAAATTCTTGTACAAAATATATATTTTCAACAAAATATCGGTAGGAAACACCTTTTTATAATCAGATGGTCATTAAAAATATTATAGATAATTAGTACATTGGATGTCCAAGATAAAAGATAATTAAAATTCAATAATCAACTTGCTTGTCGACAGAGATAAAATTAAAATGACTATCCAAGTTTTGACACAAGGCATAAACGACAAATGACATTTGTGTAGAGATGTTGGTTTCAAAATAACGAAAACGGTTTCGACCGTTATAATGTCTGGGTCCAAATAACGAAAACGGTTTTAACTGTTACAAATCTTGAGGCTGAAATGTTGTTTGGTAAATATTACCAAAAAGAGTAATTATAACTTCATCGTTCAAATATCAATATACAATGATGCCAAATTTCCGATGTCAAAATGTTTGTAGGCTGAAAGCTGGATATACCTCTACAATAGGGCCAATATGCAAAAACCCTGAACTAATTATATATAAATTTTTCATTATCTCATCATTTTGACACATACCAAAATTGTAAATTACTCTAAATAAAGCAGATATAGATAGGTAGTATTGTCACGTTAAGCGTGTTTTTAATAAAAAATGTCACATTTTACGTGCTCTTTAATAATTAAGGGACTATCTAAGTCCCGGGGATGGAATAACAAAATATAATACTCTGGGCCTACATAACGTAAGAACTTTATATTGCCCTAAACTTGGCTTCGTAGCCTTTGACTGTATAAGGGTTCTACTCTTGATGTTAAAACCTAACACGTCTCTGTAAAAGGGCTGAAGGAAACACAATGTTTTCTCAAAACAAATATATTATAATTTAAATAAAGATACAAAATAGGTCACAGCTCAATGTAATAACAAGTACACAAAATGTAAACTTACCAACTCTACTAATATTTGGGGCACATGTCACAACTCTTTTCTAACCATTAAAACCGCGATTTAAAATATAAAAAAATACTTTTAATTTAAACTATGGAGATCCTACAAGGGGCGCCTCCTATGGGGAGGATTCTTCCCTGTGGAAAAAGCCCAGTGCATCCCCTCGACATTACCTTTATAACTTTCTCATAGTTTATTGTTATCAAACTCATGTTTAATAATTATTAAATAATCAACCTTGCACATGATTGCGATTCAAAACAAATTGTCGATATACTTAAACAAAGTTTTATGTACAGTATGTTATTTAAATAATTAATTAAAATTAGGAAAAATATAAATCTATACGAAGCGTGCTTTGACCTAACAATATGCAGTCGCATTCAGTTTGAATGCGATAGAAACGGTATGTCTATCGCACTTTCAACAAAATTTATTAAGTAAAAACAAAGTGGCGTCAATATAAGGACGCCACAACGTCTTGTGACGCCAAATTGATTGAAAAAGCACAATGTAACGTTGCCAAAATGATAGTATATATATTTAATTAGATAATTCACTTGACATAACCTTTCATGACTCAGTTCGTTAAGTGTCCAACTTTTTCAACTTTACTCTCGACAAAAAGAATTTATTTAATATTTTTTTATTTATAGAAAATATTAAAATTGAAAAATACTACTATTATTGTTTATTTATTTAAAGTACATTTTAAAAATATTGAATAAGGCATATAATAAACAAATCTAAAACCAGCCACATCTTAATCTCCATAGCCAGATTTCTTAGTTTTATATTTTTTTGATGACATTATTTTGTGGTAGCAAAAAAATATTGAACATCATTTGTGTAAAAACGATCTTTCACACTATTATTGTAATACACCATTTGTGCTTACCTAGTTTATAAGCAGATTTTAATTATACAATTTAAAACGTCCACAAAAGACAAGACAACTAGAGCAAAAATACACCAATTAACCACTGAAACTATTTCGCAACACTAATGTTTTAAAAATATTCATCTTTCGGATATAATATCTGGCAACATTGTAACCATATGCATATGTTGCTTTCACCAATTTTCTTCTAAGTGCCTAATCGATCAAATAATTGAAAGTTTTCTGACGTTTATTGACGATTTCTACGTAAACAAGACTAAAAATCGGTTTAAATATCTTTATTTATAAAAATATTCTTTTATACAATAATATCAATATTTACAAAAAAAAAGAAACACAAATGTAATACTTATTTCCAGTCTTCTTTAATCAAATGAGCTGCTCTCTCTCCAATCACAATTGAAGGTCCCACCAAATTCCCAGAAATGGTGACTGGAATGACACTAGAATCAGCCACTCTCAATTTATGTACACCCAATACTCGAAGATGTTCATCGACAACCGCTTCCTTATCGTGTTCAGTACCCATCCTAGCTGTGCCAGTAATATGCCCTTTATTAACCGACAGATGGCGTATGGCACATTTCCAATAATCATCGTCGTGTTGGTCGCACCCAGGAACCTTCTTCGCATTCAAATGAACTCCCAATTTCTGTACGGAATGAGTATCGACCAATTTCAAAGCTTTCTTAATACCAGCCAACAAGGTTTCCAGATCTGAGTCGTCTGGATCAGTTAGTGAGTTGGTATTGATCAAAGGATGGTGAAGAGGATCGGTATCATGGAGTTTTAGTTGACCAGTCGATTTGGGATGGAGCAGAGTTACTTCGATGTTAAAGTTGTCATGATCTTTTGTGGACATTGCTTCATGGATTTCTTTTTTGATGCGGAGGGCTTTTTGGGTTTGTTGATCTGAAAAAAGAGTGTTCTTTATTACTGCTTGTTTTCCATTGTTTAATATCGATAAAATGGTAAATTTGGATTGTTTGTGCAAGCTGAAACATCTTATGAGTAATTTAACAATTTACCTGTGTGATGAAGGTCTTTCCTAACCAAGAATTCAATATCAGGATATTCCAATTTATCTTTGGAAACTTCTGTCTTTATGAATCCAACGGCTTCAATTCCTGGAGTAGTTAAAGGTCCTGAACCATGTTTCAGTAATTCTTCAACCATTTCCCGTTTTTCTGGATGTTTAGATGTTTCGTTAAAGACGAAGTTTAATCCAATAAAGCTAACCTGATCTTTTAGGTTATGTCCTACTTTTAGATTGCACACGGGTTCAATTTTTAGTGCTTCGAGGTCTTCTTTGGGTCCAATACCTAATGATAAAAGGGATATTAGATACATCTAATAGGGTGTTCCATTAAGAGAAGTAGCCTATATTTCAGAAACTAATAATAGTACAGCTTTGGGGAAAAATATTTTTAATAAAAACGGCCAAGAGAAATTGCTAGAAATTATTTTCAAGTTTGTAGGGTGGCCGCTAGGGGGCGTAATTGTGACGTCAAAACAAAAATGTAATTTTCTCAAAAAAATACCAAGTATTGATAAATATTACCATTTTAATCTTCAATGTTTTCTGAACAAAACAGCTTTAGGTGTAATTTTTGTCAGTTGTGAAATAGAGTGGTGGAAGAAGGTTAAACTTTAATTTGAAAAAAATGCTCATAACTCCGGTTTGGCTTTACCGAATTTAGTGAACTTGATTTTGTTTAGAAGAACTTTTTCAGCCGTATGTTTAGCTTTATAAACTGTGGCTGTTTACGTTTTATGAACGCCACTAGAGGGCGTTAAGTTAAAAACTGACAAATTTTACGAAATTTGTTGAAAAATTTAAATACAACGACATACCTTTTTAAATATTTAAATTTTTCTAAGCTAAGCTAAAAAAAATAGCTTTTAACTTAACGCCCTCTAGCGGCGTTCATAAAACGTAAGCAGCCACAGTTTATAAAGCTAAAAATGAGAGTGAAAAAGCTCTTCTGAACTAAACCAAATTCACTAAATTCGGTAAAGCCAAACCGGAGTTATGAGCATTTTTCCAAATTAAAGTTTAACCTTCCCCCACCACTCTATTTTACAACTGACAAAAATTATATCTAAAGCTTTTTTGTTCAGAAAACATTGAAGATTAAAATAATATTATTTATCTATACACTTTACTTGGTATTTTTTTGATAAAATTATATTTTTATGTTTTGACGTCATAATTACGCCCCCTAGCGGCCATTCTACAAACATGAAAATAATTTCCAGCAATTTCTCTTGACCGTTTTTATTAATAATATTTTTCCCCAAAGCTGTACTATTATTAGTTTCTGAAATATAGCCGACTACTTCTCTTAATGGAACACCCGGTACGTTCAAGTATTACCTACTTATATGTGGTAACGCTTTGAGTTCAACATGTTTTAAACATTTGGGCTTGAACATACCTGAGAGCATCATAATTTGGGGCGTATTCACAGCTCCAGCAGCCAATATAACCTCCTTGTTGGCCTTAGCAACATACAAATGTCCATCCTGTACAAACTTAACACCGTTTGCTTCTTTGGTATGAGGACTGATCAAAACCTGGATGACTCTAGAAGCAGATCGGATTTCGAGATTGTGTCTCTTGATGGCGTGTCCTAAATAGGATTGAGCCACGCTATTTCTTCGACCGTCTTTTGTAGTCGCTTGAGGAAGGGCTAATCCTAGTTGGTCCTTGCCGTTGTAGTCAACTGTTTTGATGCCCAATTCATGGCCTCCTTCAAGGATATGTTTGCCTAGTGGGGTTGAGTGTCTGAAGTGTTCTAAATGAACGTGTCCACCTAAAATATATTTTTTTAGGTAACCTGTACTTTTGGTCTGCATTAGATTATTTTACCTAAATTATGGACTTTTCTATCTAATTCTGGAATATGCGCGTCTTCGATTTTTTTGAAATAAGGAAACATGTCGTCCCAGCACCATCCTTTCAGATCAAGGTCTGCCCACTTGTCATAATCTTTTTGATTTCCTCTGGTGTATAACATTTCATCGACGGATGTAGTTCCTCCTAGACATTTACCTTTTTTCAGAGAGCATTTGTGATCTTCCATTCCTAAAAATAGTAAAAACCATAGTTGTTATCGCTGGTAGAAGTCTAAGCAAATAGCTAACACATTTTGCGGATTTAATGGTTTTAAGTTTACCTAAACAAGCCTTCTTTTGTTCGGTGGTAGTGTAGCTCCAATCGTAAGGCGTAGTTTGTAAATATTTTGACATAGCGGGAACTTGGGATATGGGCGACTCCACATAACCTGCTTCCAACAATAGAATCTTCCATTCTGGGACTTCTGATAGTCTGTTAGCTAAGGCTGATCCTGAGGGTCCTGAACCCACGATAATAAAGTCGTACTCCTTATGATCTATAGCCAGAAACATTGGTGAATGCTCAAATCTTATTAAATAGTTAAAAGTTGAGGAGGAATGAAAGACGTATTTAAAGTGTGCAGAGTTGTAAGAATATCTAAGATATTTTAATAAAATTAGTCGAACCAAAAGGATAAAGATTTCATTTTAAAGTCTGCCGATGCACCGTAAAAGGTCAATGACAGATGAAGCAGACAGATGACAAGTTATTTGAAGGAATTGACATTTTGTATTCTGCCAACATGAGAAAATAAAATACAAAAAAACCTAAATTGTGAATATTGACAGATATGAATGACTAATTTTGTTTTTTGAAAGTGAGTTTTTGATAAATGAGTTATTAAAATTTACAAAGGGAACAAATGAAGTTACATGGCAGATTTAATAAAAAATGAGAATAAAAGGTAGATAATGGATTGAGAATTAGGTAACCTCTGGCCAATTATTGCCTATTCGTTTGAATATGGGTGGTATCGCGCTATTTACTTGAATTAGGATATTAATGCAAGTCGAGTTAAGTTTATCAAATAGTATTCAGATACTACTAGCCCCAGTGCTTGTTTTTGAAGGATATACAGGGTGTTTATTAAGTACTTGTACAAACTTTAAATGGTGAATCTTTGACTTATTTTAAGGCAAAACGTTCATATGAACACATGTCCTAAACCTCTTAAATTTTGAGCTACAGGGTGGTAAAGTTTTCAGAATTTTTTTTTTTTTAATAACTAAGAATATCGCAGATATTTTTACGAAATTTGGTACACGTCTCCTACGCATTATGATGCATTTTTTAATGTACAAATAATTTTATTATTTCTACCAGTGGCGCCCGTACGGGTTTCGTATTAAATATTTTTGCCGAAAAAAATAGTACGCCACTGCTTCATCTTAAAATAACAAATATTTTTGCAATCCTCATTTAGTTTTGAGCAAATTTGGTCTGATGAGTTTTTTTCTCCGACGCATAGTTTTCGTCCGACGCATGGAACAAGTGAAAAATGTGTCTTTTATTGATCAATATTGTTATGTGATAAACTTTGATTATTTACAGACTAAGACTAAACTACTTTTACAAATAAGTTAATAACATTTACAACAATTGCTGAAAATGCCCGCCGCCTACTGCAACGCATGCGTCAATTAGCCTTAACATTGATTAACGTACTCTTTCGAATATACCTGGTGTCTGATTAATAATGGCACACGATTCAAATATCCTGTTTCTTTGATCTTGCTCATTTTGAACGGATGTTTTGTAAACTAGTGTCTTTAAGTGACCCCATAGAAAAAAGTCCAGAGGATTTAAATCTGGTGATCTGGGAGGCCAGGCTTGGGGTCCCGCTCTTCCTATCCAACGATTAGCATAATTCTAGTTCAGAAATTGACGTGCAGCCAAACAAAAGTGTGCCGGTGCGCCATCGTGCATGAACCACATCCTGTTTCTGGTAGCCAAATCAATTTCTTCTAAATGTTCAGGAAACTCGTGCTCCAAAAATCTTCTGTACTCTTCGCCATTTAGCCTTTGTGGAAGAATGCAAGGTCCAATAAGGTGATCCCTGATAATTCCGACCCAAATATTTAGAGAAAAACGATCTTGGAAATTATTTTCTATGATAGCATTGGGATTATCCTCAAACCAGATATGGTTGTTGTGGAAGTTCATGATGGCGTTTGGAGAAAAAGAAGCTTCGTCTGTAACAAGTACATAGCCTAAGAAATCCAGGGTTGTTAATAATTTATTTCGCAGCCAAACGCAGAAATCTACTCTGAGAGGAAAATCTCTAGGTAGTAATGCCTGTACACGTTGAATATGATAAGGATAAAGTTGTTGAGATTTTAAAATTTGCCACACAATTGTATGCGTAATATTCAATTCATGAGCAATTATCCTTGTATGTACTAGTTTGCGGGTCTTCTTCAATTCTATTTAACACAGCTTATTCAATTTAAACTGTTCGAACTGTCGCAGGCCTTCCTGGGATATCAATTGTTCTTTTAAAGCTGCCAGTTTCACAAAGGCTTGCGTGAATATTAATGAAAGTTTGGACATGTGAAACCACCCGTTGAGGAAATCGGGCTTGATACATTGTTTTTGCAGCTTGTGCATTACCGTGAGCCATTCCGTAGACGAAATGAATGTCTGCCATTTCTGCATTGGTATATTTGTACATTTTGAACACAATAATAGACAATAAATTATTACATACATACATTTTTAAATGACAAAAACCATGATCTTTTTTTTAAATAAACTGCCATGACTGATTTCCGCTACCATGGAAACCTCTCGGTTGTTTGCAAGGCTTGCTATGCATGTATGTACAATTGTACATTTTAGCAATTTGACTCTGAAATAAAACGGATTTTATTTTTTAAAGCGTAAACTATGCATCGAACGACAAAACTCAAGAGATTAAATTTGTTTAAAAATAAATGAGGATTTCAAAAATAATTTTTGTTTTAAGATGAAGCATTGGCATACTATTTTTTTCTGCAAAAATATTCAATACAAACCCCGTAGGTATGGACGCCACTGGTAGAAAACATAAATTTGTACATAAAAAAATGCATCTTAATGCAAAGTATACGTGTACCAAATTTCGTAAAGATATCTACAATAGTCTCACAGTTATTGGAAAAAATAGATTTTTTTCTGAAAATTTTACCACCCTGTAGCACAAAAGTTAAGAGGTTTAGGACACGTGTTCATATGAACTTTTTGCCTTAAAATTAGTCAAAGATTCACTATTTAAAGTTTGTACAAGTACTTAATAAACACCCTGTATAAACAAATTCATTTAGGACTATTGTTCGTACCTGTGACATTGTAGTGTTCGGGAATAAAGTTTTCTTGTTCGTATTTGTAGGTTTCTGCAATTTTTTCCATTTCTCCGATGCCCTTGATAAAACTTTCCACATAATCATCTACTGGCGTGCAGATTGCTGTGGCTGATAGGAAGCCCAAAAGAAGGGCTAGATTGAGTGACATTTTAAATTGCTAAAAAAAAATTTTGAAAATTAAAGTATAGAATATTTATTCGTTCAACAAAAATCAGTACGTATTATGACGTGCCGTTTTGCTAGTTAATAACATCGTTTAAAAAGCAAGAAAAAAATAATCTTTTCAAAATTTTAATTCCGTAATTATTCTGGTAAAGAATTAAAATTATGTATTTCATAATTTTAATACACGTATTTCCATTATGAAAAACATAATAAAAATTGCCGATTTAAATTTATGAAACTCATAATAGAAATTCATTAAAGGTATAATAACACAATCATAGGAAACACAAGTAGAATTATGCAATTAGGCCCCACCAAGACCTACCGGCAATAAAACTAGTTCGTTTCCGGCATTTTCCAGCTTTTACATTTTAAGTTTTATATTATTAGGACCAACAATAAAGTTCCGCTTTTTGTAAAGTTTTTGATATTTTTTTAAAAACCAATTTTTATTAGCGAACTCAAAAGTGGCGCAGTCAGTGGGATTACCTAACGGTGTAACAACAAAAATCGTGTCAAATCAGACTATTTTAATAGTTTAACAGCAAATCGAAATCGCGAAAATTGGTATAAACTGAACAAAAGGTGTAAAGCCAAGTATAAGACCAACATTGCCGAAGTTTGGAGAACCTGGACGAGGACCACATCGCCAAATCCAGCTATTTTTAAGATAATTCGGGAGAACAAACATGATATGACGAAAATAATCCTAGGAATTGCGTAACAAATTTTACTCTCCTTTTATTTTAAACATTTCATTTCTTGAGTTGAATATACTAGTAATTTTTAATTTTGATTTTTGGGATAAAATAAATCATTGAGAAAATTTATTATATTTTATGTTTGAGATAGACGAATTAGTGAATATTTTTAATAGTACCCTTAGCACAGATTCCTCATTAAATTTAGATAATTTACCTCCTATAAAAGAATCAGATTCAGAAAGTTCAGATTCGAATATGGCAGATAAAACTAATTATCCACTTTTGCAATTATATGTAGACACTATTCCAAATTTTGATGGGAACTCTCATATATTAATTCTATTTTTAGATGCTTGTGAAAGCTTGATTGGACAGTTTTCTGATCGGCAAAATAATGCAGCTACAATTAATGCTTATATTTTAAGAGTTATTATTGGCAAATTAACCGGCAGAGCTTTGAGTTTAATAGGCTCCCGAAATGAATTACCTGTTTGGATAGATATAAAAAGTTTATTAATATTAAGCTTTGGTAATCAGAGAAATTTTGATTGTCATGTATAAGTCTTAATTGCTTTACATCCTTTTAAAAATGAACCCCATGCCGTTTTGGTATGCGTTGCCAAGACTGTAGAACAGTGGTCGCCAACCTCTCAATGTATTGAGCTACTTTGTTAATTTTGGAATAAACAGTGAGCTACCCACACGGAAGCCACGTAACGCAACGTAAATGAAATAATCCACAGTTAATTTATCATTATATGTATTTATTTTACTATTTAACTGGTAATACATAATACATAGGTACTAATAATAAACTAATAACAAAATAACTAATATTACTAGTACGTACTTGTTCATAGCTACATTCCTACCTACCAAACGATGGTGTTTGAAAAATAAACACAAACTTATATCCAGCCACAACGGCATGTCACGTAAGATTTAAAAATAGTTAATAATAACAACAAAAAAGTAACGCACTATCATGAACATAAACATTGAAAAATAAAAGAGCACGTTCAATGAGGAGGCTGACACTCAGACTCATCGATAATTTTTTTAATGTTTGCAGTGTAATTTGATACAGCCATTCGAATACAATTATCCTAATGTTCATCTGTAAGTCGATTGCGATATTTGTTCTTAATAAACTTCATATTGGAAAAAGAAGATTCACACAAATAGGTTGAACTGAATAATGCTTTCACTTTCAAGGCAACTCGGCATAGAACTGAATATTTGTCTTTACTTACAATAGGGCAGATACATTTGGTACTTGAGACTAACGATTTTAAGGTTAAATCATTTTGAAACTCAATTACTTCCATTTCTGTTGCAGCGATGTCTTCGCCAAAGTTCTGCATAACACAAGTTGCATACTGTTGGATATCAATTTCCATAAAGGGTGAAACAACAAACTGCGCTACTAAAGCCATTTCGTTGAAATCCTTAAAACGATTTTTTAAGTTATTCTTCAGGGTAGAAACTATTTCTACATGATATTTGCTGTCATAGGGTTCTAATAGCTTTTGAGATATTTTTTCTGAAAGAATAGGAAAATGCTTGGCATCGCTGTTAATTAAGTTTTGTTTCCAAAACTCCAGCTTTTTGATAAATGCTTTTATATCAGAAATCATTTCCGCTAGTTCTTTGTCTCTCCCCTGAGGCTGCAAATTAAGTTCGTTTAATTTCTCCGTAATGTCCACGAGAAAACCAAAATGTCTAGGCCAGATTGAATTTTCTAGTTCCGGAGTCGGTTCATCGCGTTGTTTGAAAAATTGAACTATGCCAGATAGGACATCATTAAAACGTTTCAGCACCCGTCCTCTACTTAACCATAGGACTTCAGAGTGAAGGAGTAGGTCCCCGTATTGACAGTCAACTTCATCGGCCAAGGTTTTGAATAATCTTCTTTGTAACGCTTGAGCTCTAATCTTGTTCACAATTTTTACCACCAGTTTCATAACGTTGTTTAGTTTCAGGAAATTTCCACATAATGCCTGCTGATGGATAATGGAGTGGTAACAGAGAAATTGCGGAAAAGTTTCATCTTTACGACATAACGCCACCAGACCCTTATCATAACCCACCATAGCTGGAGTGCCATCGGTTGTCAAGCCTACCATTTTTGATATTGGAATTTTCTCGGAAGAAATAATATTTTTTAAATGAGAAAACAACTCCTGTCCAGTAGTGTGTCCTTTCAGTGGAATAAACTTCAAAAGATCTTCTTTAATCGTAAAATCACTAAAAACCATCCTGACGAACACGGCCATCTGGGCAGTGTCAACGACATCTGTTGATTCATCCAGTTGAAGTGAAAAATAAACACAGTTATCTAAGTCAGTTCTTAACTGTAAAAAAATATCATTGCTCATTACTTCTACACGTCTCATCACTGTATTAGCGGAAAGTTAAATAGATTTTATAGCTGAAACTATCTCGTCTTTATTTCTAAAGTTGGCAAATAACGAATCAGCAGCTTCTAAAAACGCCTGTTTTATCATTTCCCCGTCTTCATAAGGTTTCTTTTTGTGTGCAATTATCTGGGACACACGGTACGATGCTTCAGTTGCAGCCTTATTTTTGTCGACTGTTCTTAAAAATATTGATTGTTGTCCAATTAACTGCTTTTTTAACTGTTTCAGTTTCTCCTTTCTGGCGGCAGAATGTAGTTGGAATGATTTTTCAAAATTAGAATGTACAGTTTTATGATGTCTCTCAATATTTTCTTTTTTAGCAACGGAGACCGAAGTATTGCATAACAAATACACATTTTTATCTTTAACTTCTGTAAAAAAGTATTGTTCTTCCCATTCCGAATGAAAGTGGTATGTCTTTACCTGCTTATAACTGCTTGCCATAATATTATTTTTTGTTATTATCTACTAACCAACCGCTGGACGTTGGTTACGCGTTCAGTTTTAAACTAAGCGCAATGTCGCCGCGCCGTGCGTATTTATCCCGTTCAAAACAATCCTGATCGTTCTCGAACACTAACGCGTTGGTCCGGCTGGACGGTTCTAGCCGATTCTAGCTTGATGGCGTCAGCGGCAGATCGCTCACCGCAACGTTGCTGCTGTTTATGTTTAATATTATGACAATTAGATTTTTTTGTGGAATTTTCGGAAGCTTCTCTGATTTTTGCAGTTTGTATTTTTTAAATTAAAATTAGACTTTAAAATTATAACGATTTAGCACTTAAAACATTTATTCACGGCCTTACAGATCAATTACAAAATAATGTTTTGAACAAGCAATGGCATTTGTAGTCGAAGAAGATAATTTCCTTTATAGTTCACAAAAATCAAATTTTTCAGATTCTCAAAGTTATAGACCTGTAAATAACAGAAATAATTCGCGCACGAATATTTTAGGAAAATTATCGTGCCCTCAAGACAATTTCCAGAAATAATTTATTAAGCACTTGTGATATTATAAGTGATAATATACGTTTTAAAGTTGATCAATAGAAGTTTAGGTTCAATTAAAACAAAAAAAAACAAAAATAATGTTTGAACACTCAAGTCTTTCTGTACATTCATATGTTCAATTAGCAATTATTTTATTGTGTGCAAAAAATTAATTTCTTATTGACATTGAATATGTATAATAAAGTTAAATTATAATTAATTCTTGTATAAATAGCTTAGAGCTATAATAATTTCTTCCAAGGTTAAATATATATGTGAATATAACATTAATAAATTAGTTTATTGCTAGAACATTCTTAATATAGAGTTTTTATTTCTTTTATACTTGTGGAATGTACCGGGAGAACTATGTATGATCTTCGAGATTCGCGTTGAGGGTGAATTTCTTTTATTTCCTTAGTATCAGGAAAATAAAATGTCTTAGAAAAATGTAAAATCTTTTGAAAGAGTCATTATTAAACTAAACAAAAAAAAAGTAGCTGTGCATACATTTTGAAATAATTAGCAAATTTGATGATGTGACATTTTCATCATTTGACATTAGTGTATCTATAGATTCTGTAGCTTTAAGGTGACTTTCTAAGAATTGACACTATATTTTATTGTTAAATTTGATAAATTTAAAGCTTATATTTGGGAAGGCAAGGCCGGGACCAACTTCAAACGTTAAGCGACAGCGAAGGAAACCGAAAACGGTTTTTTCACGTCTGAGCACATGTAATTACATGAAACACATTTCGCAAGTCGTAACTGACGACAATAGCTGTCGGTGCCTTTAATATCGGATGGACCTTTTTCACAGCATGATTTTGATTAATACACAACTTAATACGTTGAGAAAACATGCTTATTTT